TGCGAAAAGAAAATAATTTATTGAAAAACTATTTGAAACTCATTGAAGACAATGAGGCGGTTATGGAGACCACGAGTTGTGGTCAACAATACTCACGAAGAATAGTAGACATGAAAGACACGTATCGACGGATGTGTTGGAAGTGTTTCACGCGATTCAGAGACGAAACCATTGGTTTGCGGCAAACATTTCCTGTAATGAGTGATATCGACGAAGACGTGAACTTCTTGTGTTGCCTTCCCGTGGATTCGTTCGCCAGGTTTACCACCGATGATGAGTCTGTGATCACACTATCGTTACTTAAGGTATGGATTGTAATCACGTAAACATGTAATCAAAACTAATTGTTATTTTGATTTACTATTTAGTCATTAAAACAATTAAAACGTTTACAACAATCGGAGTTCTTTCGGAGAATTGTCTGTATTTTTATCACTATTTGTGTCGACAAAGAGATCGTAAAAAACAAATCACAAGAGGTTTACAATCAAAGAGTTTTCAGTGAAATCACGCCATTGTTTGATGAGTTGATCCGAGTATCGGAACAAACATATAGTGAACTCTTATCTGTCTATAAGTGCGCGAAGTCTTTGTGGACGTCATCCGAGGTTTCGCTCATTAAATGTCGTGATTTGAGACAAACCGTTGAATCCATTGAAACCGTAAACCTATTGAATGCCAACAGAAATATACGAAAACATTTACTCATAGCTCTTAACATGTGATTACTATTAATGCTATGATTTTGTGAATAGTTTTTAATTATGTTTTGTTTAATTGTCTCAAAAGTGTCGACGAATGCGATTCACTCGTAGATGAAGACAGTGTTGAAAGAAGTGATGATTTTAGACATCAATTGTCACTTAAAGTGGACTCAATTGGCGCTGAAGTGAAGAATTTGGATAATTTGGTCATTAATTTGGAGAAAATGCTTAGAATTGAAGGTTTGATTGAATTATTGAATTAAAAAATAATTTTTAATTAAATTATTTAATTTTTAATTATTATAATCAGAGCTCAAGAAATCAAAACAGAAATTATTTAATGAAATGGAAGTGAAAAGCGAAGAATCGGTGAAACCATTGATGACATTATCAACGGCTGAAGACTATGTGGTTAGGGATCAGGTGTTTGAGGCGTTTGTTACTCAGGAATGCCATGAAATTGATGTCGAAGTGAATGCCGAAGAGGAACAGCTCTGGGAATTCGCGGTATGTCTGGAATTAACACTATTTTGCATACAATGTAATGATATCACAATATTTACCACAATTTTCAGCGCAAAGTAACTCAAGACTCGACTAATCTGTTCCGCGAACTCAAAGTCGCCCTCAAATCCAAAGCCGTTGAACACGAGTTAAGGGAAGCGAAGGCTTTGGGAATTGAACTACCGGTGAACCCAATGAATGACAATATAAATAAAGAGGAAGATGTGGTGACAGCAGCTGAAGACCCAATAAGTGATGACAATACGAGTCAAACACTTCCCAAACAGAGTTTTTATGAACAAAACATAGTTTCAACTGAATTGTCGACCGAAAGTGATCGGACTTTGAGTCCACATAAGTGTCGGCCAGAAGGGAATGCATTCTCGTTGTCCTCTTTTGAGTCAAACATCGCTTCATTTGCCGCACAAAAGGCCAAACATTTTGGTTTAAGTGAAGGCACCGAATGTTTTGGCGACGACTCGGACTCCGATTCCGAGGGCTAAGTCCTGGCCATCAAATCGCGTGCTTTAATACCAATGTATTGCTTGCTATTAATAATGAATGCCTTTTGTCTGTTAATTGAATTAAGATATTAAATGATTTAATAATTTGTTCATTAATTTTGTTTTACTATGTTTAAAATTGCTTAAAATCGATATGTTTAAAATTTTTTTAAAAACTATTAAAATATTTAGACTACTTTAAAATAATCATAAAATTTAAGTCCATATTATTCGTTATACTGAACATAAAATTTAATAAAACTTTATTGATTTAAATAACAATTGATTTTTTATTTATTTGTTTATTTATTTTTAACAGACTTTTAACCATCCATTTATATGGTTAAATTGCCTACGCCTATTATATCGTGGTACAAAATATCGTCCAGTGATTTAATGCATTTAATTGACATGAGTTAGAGGGCAGCATAAGCAAGAAAGCTATGCTATGTCTAAAAGTCACATTAATAGTATACATCACAAAAAAGCGGCCAACTTTTAACACAGTATTCTATGCTATGGTTTAGTGCTATGTGTGAAGTGTATGAGTGGAGTGTATGTGTCGCTTATGACATGCGC